ATAACAAGCTTTGACAACCCATGGTTAACTATTAATTTAGAAGACTTCTTTTGGATCAAACAAAGTGGTGTGAGCTTAAACGCTAGAGTGAAATGTGTATTAACCACTATAATACCGAAGCATTAATCGACTAGCAGGTGCATGAATGTAAACAGCAATGTTTGCGTAAACATAAAACATGAAGCATGAAACAACATAATGGGCTTAAGTGTTAAGCAACATAGCATTTAAAGCATGATCCAACAAAGTAACTTAAGGAAAAAAACATAACAGCTCAAGCAGCAACTAATGTAACGGCCGAGCCTAACAACAATTTAGTGGCAAAAGTCTGAACACACATAACGGCTTAAGCATTTACGAACATAGTTGCATAAGCATATATTCATGATTTGTGTCTCGTTGTAAAGAGTTTTATCAAGGTTTATCAGATACAACCACTATTTTTTATCAATTAATGATAACGACTGAGGTATGAAGCTCAAGTATGATAAATACATTTGAACATGAAGATAAAGGTAACATATGAACAAGATGTCGGATGAATACATTATGTAAAATTTTCATTTTTCACAGTATGCAACTGCCACTTAAACAAAGCAATGTATGCATTACTTTTATCCTAATATCCCAACAGTCATTGCCATTGCAAGTATTATACATAGGAAAAGAACACAACCTGTTGATTGCCGAATTCAAAGAAGCAAATAGTTCTTATATACACATAGGCAGATCTGTCATCATATTAAAGGCTTTTTCTTTGCAATCTATTCATATCTAGTATCAAGTATCTGCCCTTTACTTGTAGGGGGAATGTATAAGGGAGTATTTCATAAGAAGAAAGAAAGGAACAAAAACAGTTTATATGTACTATGATTCCATTCGTTTGTAAACTATATAACTTTATATTGACATAATTATCACTTAACCCATTGACCTTTTTTGCAAACAAAAGGTCCTCACGGATTGTACAACTGGCTACAATTGATAATCTTACGATTAACAAACCCAAAACCCAGTAGTTCTGACTTAAGTGCCGGACGAAGACAAGAATCGGGGCTTATCTTTTTTGAATAAATGATTGTCGGATTCTTATAGCCGGTATCATCATCAATTGTATATATTACGTCGCAAAAACGCTAAAACCACATGCACGCGACTGTTAACAGATGATTTTTATTGTCGTCGTAGAGGACTTGTTTAGCTTAATGAAAATATTTCTATTTGGGATACGCTGTCTCTTTGAATTTTCTTTTTTACTTTTGTCACTGACCAAATTAAACTGGAATGTTTCAAAAACTAGACCTAATATGACGATAGAACTTTGCATAAAGTTAAAGTCACTTTACTTGTACATGTCATTGCAACGCAATTTGCGTGAAACCGTTCCTTCTTTTTTCCGATAAATGTTTGAAATGTTGCGACATAGGATAACACACATGGTAAGATAAGAACTATTTTGACGCATATGAATTGAATATGATGTTGGCATTATATTCAAACCTATGATTGACAACAAAGTAAAAATAAAATGATTTAAATGTGTCAATATTTAAAAATAATGAATGTGTAAGCGTATTTTGAATATCCCTTTGAATAGGATAAAATTTCGATTCCGCCATTTTTAATGGAAATAAAATAATGTTTTAATGATAAAGCTTAAATATAAACAAGAAAAACGAGTTGAATTTATAAAAGTTTTCAGATGTTGTAATTTATATATTTCATACAATAATAATTGGCAAGGATCGACAAAAAATAAGGAAATAATTTTGCGTGAAAAAAAAACATAAATGAAGATATCATAGCTATAGAATTATCAAGCTGGTTGGCTGTCTTTGTAAGTTGGTAGCAAATACTGGTAATGTTTTACAAAAAAAATCAAGCATCGGCAAGCCATGAATAATTAATATTAATTAAGCATGAATTCGTTTAGAAGGAACAACGTGGTTTGAACATCAAACATTACAGTGAATTAAGTTTGAACCATAATAATGACAGCATTATCTGATAAAATAGGCTAAGTATGAACCAACGAAGCAACTTAAGTATAATATAATGGGCTTACGCATGAATCAACATAATGGCTAAAGCTAAAACCTATATAACGGATAAAGCATTTATGGGCATTAATGTTTACAAATGCATGGTTTGAATAATCAGACCAACATGCCTGTAACTGTGTGTATCAATTCCTAATTCTTTGAGTATCAAATCATGTACATTCAATAATATGAATATAAAGGTAAAATATTTGAATAATCAATATATACATTATTGAGATTTTTTTATTTTACAAACTGCTACTCAAGCATTAAAAGTTGTGCATAACTAATATCCGGTAATATGCCGACAAACTTTGTAATTGGAAGTTTTATACGTAGAAATATCTACATATTGTACTGCCGAACATAAAATATAGAATAAATTTAAAAAAATAATGTCATAATGTGAAGGGCTTTTATCTTTCAATCTATTTATATCAAGTATCTGAGAAATTTATGAGAAAATTTAAATGGGAGTATTTCATAATAAGCAAGGAACAGCAACAGTTTCAATTCTCGCTAAAGTAAACCTTTACAATAAGTTCAACATCTTTAGTGCAACGTCTTTCAGGAACAACGTTATTGATCGTATATGATGTATATGATTGAGTTCCGCTCTACCGAGGTTTTACTGTAATTAATTTCTCTACATGTTTTTGATATAATAATTATTCAATTACAATCTGCATGTAATATATATATATAAATATATGTTATTGTAGCAACGTAAAAATCGTGTAGAAAATTTGAAAAAAGGTGTTTTTTTTCCATTTTTGTATAGGTATTAAAACGCCCACTTTGGCCCACTCCTACTTTCTCCATTTCGACCAACACATTCTACGCACATTTTAATATGTTATCCATCAAGATGGGTAATGATTTAACAAGCTATATAATTTGATAAAATTATCATCCAATAAAAATCAATATTTACCTTAATTACTCATATATTTTCCGTAAAGTTTATATCATTAAATCCAGGACTTAACTCCGCCATTGCGATATGGACACACAATTTTAAAGCGCATGCGTCATTATCACAAGATGAAATTGTTATCAAATCACGTGACTACTGAATTGTTAGACGAAAAAATTAGGCCATGGCAAAAATATACTCAATATTTGTCCTCTTTGTTTACCTTTATGATAATATTATCTTACAATGACGAGATCGACTTCCGTTGCTACTGGTTATCCAGTACATATTGTTTAAAATACTCGAGTTGACAATATCAGTTAAAGGAATCATTCCCGATGGAAACGGAATTTAAAATATCAATTCAATGTTGGCATTCGAGATGAATTTTGAACAAAAGTAGATCTAAAATAATATTAGCAATATCAATATTTCTCTGCGCTGACGACTTGCCAGATGAATCATTAAATTCCTTAAAGCAATATTGACTAACAAAAAAAAAAAAGAAATATCCCGCTACATCCGTTACGCCTAACATAATATTAGGACAAATCAACATTAGATATCGGTGTTCATGGACCAAAGACCCATTTCCCCTGACAACAGTTGGCCATACAGGAACAGAACAGACCAAATGGTGGAGAAATGAGATAATTTAATTTTAAAAATAGTGTGTTCATACTGAAAAAGAATCATTTTCCAATGACGCGCCCATAGTGTAACGCTTACATTTCTCTGTATAGCGGAAATGATACCATGACACAATGTATGCATGTATGTATAATACTGTTTTTACGGACTTGCAAAAGCGGCACAGATATGTGCTTAATAATTTTATTCGAATCTTTGTCTTAATAAGGAGCAACAACTAACCACAACATCGTTTTATCAGTATTATTATTGCAGTTGATAATTTTTAAAGATAGCCTATAATGTTCTTCCTATTGGCGATGTTTTATTCCTGTCATTGAATCTATTAAAATTAGAAAAGTAAAAGCCCCATATTTTTTCTGGTATTTTTTATAGTTTGCCTCGATAGATAGGTTTCAGCCACATACAGTAATATAGCTATATTATTTTGCATTTTTCGTAAAACTCTAAGTAAAAATATCCAAACGATGCTTATTTTGATATTGGTTCAATTTGAATACATGTTTTTCTGGTTTCTCTTTCTAGTTTCGGCCTAATTTGTCTATTTTTAACCCCTTGTACATTATTTGTCTGTCAACCATGGACGTTATGCGTACGTCCATAACCAGTTAGAAAATTTGCATTAAAGTAGAGTTAATTTTACTTAATATGTACATGTCAATCAGCACAATTTACATTAAATCGTTATTTCTATTTCCCGATTAAATGTTTGGAATGTTGCGATGTTAGATCATACACAGGATTAAAAAATAACTATTTTTTACCAATCTTTATCAAATATTGATTCGGCATTATATTTAAACGTTAACGTTCTAATAAACAATACAAATGACTGCAATCCGATATGGCATTAACGAAGTCCTTTTACTTTGCAATCAATTTATATCAAGTAAATGAACTTGAGTTTAAGGAAGAAATTATGGACAAATGTATTAAGTTTTTTCGTAATAAACAAGTAACAAGGACGGTTTTAACTTTCTCAAGAGTCAACCTTTACAATGGGTAACTATAACATCTTTCAGGAACCACCTAACTATTTGTATTTGAACGGGTTTTGCTCTTCAAGGGTTGTACTGTAATTTATTTTTCTACATCTTTTGATATGGAAATAATTAAATTACATCATGCAAATAAAATATAAAATGTAAAACTATGTTATTGTAGCAATGCTAACTTCCTGTAAAAAATTTGAAATGAAAATTAGAGCTTTTATTTTCCAATCTGTACTGTTCTTCAGGCTAGAAAAACGCCCACTTTGGCCCAATCCTACTTTCGTTTTCGACAAAACAGATTTTACGGCCATTTTGAAATGTTATCCAGCTAGATGATTTAACCAGCTACATTATTTGATAAAAGAAATCATCACATCAAAATAAATAAATTATATTTACCGTAATTTTCTCACATACTGTCCGTAACGTTTATATCATTTAATCCAGGACTTAACTCCGCCATTGCGATATTGATACACAATTTTACAGCGCATGCGCTAATATCACAAGATAACTTTGTTATCTATCACGTGAATTGTAAGATGAAAATCAGGTCATGGAAAAATATACTAGATAATTGTCCTCTTTTTAAATTATTGTTATGATAAAATGTTAAATTTCTTTGTTAATATATGTTATTGCTGAATGCTTAAGTAAATCAAATTATCTAATAATGTCCTGACATGGAGTTAAAACTAAAACTTATTGACAAAATCGTCTACCGTCGCACTGAAAATCAAGAGAAAAATCTGTAAACAACAACAACAACATTTGATCTGAAATTGACAATACAAGTACAGGTCAAATTTTCATTGAAAAATAAGTTTAAAACTATAGAACAGGATGGAATTTCAGTACATCTATAAAATAAACACTAGAACTTTTAGAAAATTTAGAAAATTTAGAGATAAATATTTCATTTGCAGAAAGTCTAAACCAATGTATTATGCAAAATCGCAGATAATACCGAGTCTAATTAAGAGTGTAATATTTTTATAGCCGACCTGACACTATTACATTCTTTTGTAATTTTATATGTGCATGATTTATAGAAGCACATAAATTTGTTAACTTCTTGTAAAATTGTAACAAAATTTAATCATCTGTACAGAATTAATTTTCTTGTTTCATAATCTTGTATATTTTGCACGTGAAAAATTGAAAATTTGTATATATTGCACGTGAAAAGTATAATATTAACTTTCGTCCAATATTATCTGTTGTATATTTTCTGTAAAAAGATATTTAGATCTCTTACCTATAAACACATTAGTTTTTGCTATTTATTTTCAAAGGGGACTACAAAGATGTCAGTGAAAGAATGGTGCTATATGTAAAATCATTACATGGTATCTCGATAACCTTTATCTCGAATGTTTCGTGTCAGGTAATTCATTTAGTTCAGAGGAAGTAATCTATAACTGAACAAATGTCTCCCTTGTCTAATTGTAAAATGACTAGACTACATAGGATATTTAACTAGAATGTTTGCGTTACTAATACCTCTTATAATGTGCTTAAAATGTATTTATAACTCTAAAATGCATTTTGAACCCTGCAGAAACCGTTCGGACATATCAAATCGATTTTCACGTGCACTTTAAATGCATCCTCGTACTTCTGCATATGTGACTGCACGAAAAATTGTGCAATAACTCTCTATAATTTATAGACATATGGAATCTTAAGTCGAGAACAGTGCTGTCAAGATTGATTTAAGGATTTGTTACAAGTTATTAACAATTTTCAAAAATGAATAGATATAAGCGGCGAACATATCGGAAGCCACGCTTTTTAAAAAGCTTTACAACATTTTGATGCTTTTGTATTATTTCATCTCTTTATATTCATTGCTAACAAACTTAGTTAATATAATCAGATGCCTGCTGCTTTGCCTAACCAGGTTGTTAATATCAATACTATAAATATTTAAGGATGCTTTCTCCTCAGTGTCTTGATATCTATCTAGTTTTTAAGGACCACTGATTCCATTTATGCTTCAGAAATGCTATCTTTTTTTTTTTCAAAAACTGTTTTTAGAATCTTGTTACGATTTTCACAAAGAAACGTTATACAAATATGCATAAACTATTTTCTGCTAATTTTTTCTGTTGCCAATATGTATATTCCAATTTAAACAGTATTTTGTATAGAAGTCAAAATACTAATTTTTGAACATTTTGCTCCCTTTACAACATATTACTTATATGTTCAGAACTATTATCCTCAGTGAAATAACATATTTCATGCTTAAAATCCATTATTACAAAATTATTAAACACATGTTTGACGTTCCTTAGAATTAATAAAAACGTATGCATTTCTGAGGCAAAAATGACACATTAAATTTGAAGGTTAAACAAAGGACCAGTCGACGGAGATGTAGCATTCTCCGTTATCACTTATGCAAATCGTCTGCGATTTTTTTAAATATTTGTTTTAATAATTCGCTTTCACTGATCTCTTTGAGTGTGCCTCCTTTCTAGAATTTTATATGTTATAGAAAGTTATATTTCGTGTATCGGTTACGTACGCCCTTGAATGAGTTACTTGCTTTCAGATAATAGTTTTTAAAGATATGAGAATAAATACAATTTATTTTATGAAAAAAATGGTGAGATATAATAACAAAGGACAAATCGCATTTTCATTTATTTTTTCCGTATTTTCACTGTAAAGGTTTGTGTTCTTTTTGTTATAATTATCTTGCATTTATAAAAAAACTTGAATATCCCATAAATTTTAACGACTTAACATTTGGCTTTGTGACACATGTCAGTAATCATTTTTTTTTAAAAACAAAACACGTTTTAAACTATTTTTTGTTTGAACTATGAATTAGAAGCAAAAGCATAAATTCTAACATATTTCTGTTTTGTTCTTGACATTATCATAATGTATAACAAATCTACAGTTACCTTTTAAAAAGTGACATTGACTTTTTTATTGACCTTTACAGCTTTAGACCAAATTAGAAGAAAACTGTCAGTCAGTCTTGAGTAAAGTCAACCACAAGTAAATTTAATCACACAGAAATGTAAGTGCAACATGTTATTCTTTCGTCATTATTCCGTCCATATCTCGATGAATGACTTATTATTTGTTATTGTTTCCTAAACATTTCCTGAAAAAGAAATCCAACGTAAAAGTAATTAGGGAGGAAATATTTGAAAAAAAAATATTTATTCATCCTGCGTCTTCTTCGACAATTTCGGACCAAAATGACTATCATCTAAAGCAGCCATTAATATAGAAAAATCAGATAGTTTCAAACAAGCAGATTACAGTTTTCACAATAGTATACGATGACAAAGCTGTTTTTGACATTCAATTCTGCTCTACGTGACGCAAGCAAATTAAACTGAATAATTGGAATCTGATTTGCAACGATTGACTATTTACACAAAGGAGAAGCATTCAACTGACCAAATGATAATCCAAATTTTAACATAACTTGTGACTACTGTAACACGTTTTAGTGGTGTTTACTCGTGTTTCATATACACTAGCTGTGTAGTGTCTAGGTGTATCAAAATGAACAACATTGGCTGAAGAAGATGGTCTACCGCCGTCAACCTCATCTTGCCTCGATGGTATGTATTGACCTAAATCTGACTGGCGTAAAAATTGCAAGTCTTTTTCTGACACGTAGTTCATCTGTTCGATCAACTGTGTCTATAGAGAGCTGACGTTTTAACTTTGTTGGAGGATCCAGGGAGTTTGATAGGGTATTCTTCTAGGTTGTCATCTTCTTTGTTATTCAGATTTTTTACTGGACAAAGAAAGTCACATTAATATGTACAAACTAACAGTATTACTTGATGCGATTTTTGAAATTTAATAAGTCTATAAAGAAATGTAAAGTGTTACTTATAATCAAAAAACATAAAATGTGAACGAGTTATTTGCGTGTAGATGTTTCATTTTTCTTCTCCATTCTTCATACCATGTAAGACATGACGAGTGAGACGGTTGAAATTAAAATAAGTTACGGTGTACACAATTTAATAATATTTGTTGTAAATAATATGATGTTCAAACAAAAATAAATGTTTACACAAAATGAATACATATACACAGTGTGATTTAACCATTTAAAAGTTTTATTGCATAAGGTCTATAATTGGAATACAGGTTTTGATAAGATTTGACATAATTGAATATGATACCTGTAGGTTGAAATGTTTTGTCGTGAATTTGCCATTGAATGACATTGATAAGATAATAATGGCAAACGTTTTATCAGGACAGGAAGTGCTTTTTCATGATACAAAACGTGTTCATTCATATACTGGAAAAAATGAATTAAGATTAAGGTTTGAGTTAAACGTGTTACCTGTTAAGAAATTTCAACAGGTACTACAGTTGATATGTTAAAATATTGAAAAATTAAAATCGCAGTTGTTGCGTATAAATTCGGGAACCATCGGCAATTTTCCGTATAATTTTATAGTACAGTATATGATATGTATGAAAGTGTCGACATTTATTCAGTATGACGCACGTACAATGTTAACAAGACATTCATAATGACTGACAATGGCAAATTTATACATAGAATTTTTTAATTCATAACCAATTATATATATTGACTTGAAAGCAAAAAAAAGTAAAAAAATCATATGTTATTTAAAATCAAAATTTACTAAAAACATACCTTTATGAACAGTATCTTTTGCCATGTCTTCAGTACTTGTTTTAGAGGAGCACGAGAGCACAGGGGCTGTAACTGGACTTTCATGCAGGAGCCGGTTGAACAGAGGAAACTTAAACCAATAATACATGTAGATATAAATTCATATACTTTTCTATTTACGGTAAAAATTCTTTTGCAATATAAAGGAAGCTATGGCCTAATGGTAATGGAGTCTTCCTTTCAAAGTGTAGAAATATAAGTAATCAATGTATCATACCCCCTTACATATCCGTGATTTTAGAGCTGCCTAGAAGCTTATGTTAAAACCATTGACTATGACATTTATCATTAAAGACGGACGTGCAATGACGGAATGTAGTGCTGCATATAAGCTTATAGTAACATTTGACCTTGACCTTTTTAGACGAACATAATGTAATGCTGCCAAAAGAACTTTTGTGTCAAATAATAAAATTTCGAAACCGGAACATTTGAAACGCAAGAAAGTTTATAAATCGTGTTCTTTTTCTAAATGGTTTTTGTGTAGTTTAAAACCAAATGCATTTTGTTCATCCACATTTATGAAACATGTCACAATGCAAACTGTGCCGTGGATATTCAACTGTGAAACAATCGGTGTTCAGTAGGAACGACAAGTTCTTGTGTTTGAATAAGGTCTTGGTTTTAATTTACATGCGTCTGGCTTTGTAAAAAACTACTTTTGTAAATGCTGTAAAAGAGGTTTTTTGAAAACAAAAAAATGAAGAGAAATCCGAAAGGTATATGAGTACGTATTGTGGATATGCGTATTATATAACGAGGCCCTAATAAGTTTTGAAAACGCGTCATAGGGCAATGTAAGTGTATATAATGTTTTGAATAAAAATTGAAAGG